GCGCTTGCCTTGCATGCATGAGGCCCTGGGTTCGATTCCTCAGCACCACATAAGCAAAAAGAAAAAAAGCCGGAAGTGGTGCTGTGGCTCAAGTGGCAGAGTGCTAGCCTTGAGCTGAAGAGCTGAGGGACAGCGCCCAGGCCCAGAGTTCAGACCCCATGGTAGGACCCAAAACAAAAAACAAAACAAAACAAACAAACCAAAGCTGGCCACTGGTGGCTCACACCTGTAATCCTAGTTACTCAGGAGGCAGAGATCTGAGGATTGTGGTTCAAAGCCAGTCTGGGCAGGAAAGTCCGTGACACTCTCTTGTTCAAATAACCACCAAGAAGCTGAAAGTGGAAGTATGGCTCAACGGAGGAGCACCAGCCAGGTCCTAGCACAAGGCACATACATGCGCACACAGTTGGGGGGCATCCTGTGACAGGAGGGTCCCATACACGGGGCCTGGAGCACGGCTAGGGCTACTTCCTGTCCCCACTCATGACCCCCTCCCTCTCAGGGCAGCAGCCATCCACCCGGCCCGGGGATGTTAGGGATGAGGCTTTGATTACATGCCTCCTGTGACGGCCCTAAGTAAACCTTAGCAATTTTCATTTTGCTGAGAATTAATATAGATCAGTGCCCTGTGGTTGGCTCCTACTTTAATCCAAAATCACTCATTAAATGGAGAGCAGCAGCTCGCCCTCGATGGGTGACCTGTGGGCCAGCCTGGGGTGCCGAGGCCGAGGCCACGTCCAGATGGACGGAAGCAGCTGCCCTCGTTACGTACTGGGCGCGATTTGGAATGCTGACCTGCTTCTCTGCACATTAGACATATTAAAAGCGCCCAGATTCGGGGAGTGGTACGGTCTGGAGATGCGCTTCCCAAACGGCTGGGCACGGGGCTTGGTAGCAGGATGGCAGATGGCGGACGCGGAGGAGGCCGGCTCCACACAGACCAGCCGCCGCAGACTCTGCCCAGCAAAGCTGCCAGCTGTGACTCTGTGGCACCTACTGGCCAATCCGGGCTAAAGCCTGGATTCCCCGGCTCCCTCAGGGAGGACCAGCTGTGGCCTCTGACCTGCATAGGCAGTGGCCAACCAGTGGAAGTCCGAGGGGAGCTGGCCTGAGCCTGTGGGAGGGAGAGGCCCACCGCGGGGCCCGTGGGGTCCCGGGGTAAAGGGAGTCCATGCCCCAGACACCAGGTTCACCCTGAGGCCCGATTGCAGCCTTTGAGGCTCATGCCTTAACTTCTGCGGCCCTGCCCGCGGGGCCGAGACCCTTCCACCTGCTGCTTCCCGCCCGCATCACGCCGTCCCTAAAACCCATGGCGTCGGTGGTGATGCGGTCAGCTTGCGGAGGCCCTGCCTGGGCCCTCCCGCTGCCCGCTGCCTGGCGTTCCCCCGCGGCCGCCAGCCGGCCTCATGCTCTGGCGACGTCTCTCCTCCTCAGGGCTCACAAGACCAGCAAGAGCGGGACCCAGGCTGCACAGCCCCCTGCACAGCAGGAGGTCCCTGTGACACCGGAGCCCCAGGAAGGGGACTCTGAGTGAAGAGCCCCCCACCTCCCCGAACAAGGACTAGACAGACTTCAATGCGTTAGGCCCAGCGGTGGCAAGACTGCTGTGTCTGTGTGGAGCACATGGTTCTGAGGCCCTGGGGCTGGCCTGAGCAGAGGCTGCCTGGCCCCTTCTGCAGGACAGGTGGGGGGTGACCGTGAGCAGAGCCAGCCCCAGGGCCTGAGCCCCACTCCACGGCCGGCTGCGGACCTGCTGGACTCCGGCCCAGGGAAGCCCACTGAGTCCTCACAATGGCCGAGGAGGCCACATCTGTAGCCACCCTTCCCAGAGGCCAGGCCAGAGCCACGCTGCACCTGCAGCCACAACCTGCTACAAAAGGAGTCCACGCTGCCTTGCTGGGCCAGAAGGAGGCGGCGGAGCACCAGCCCGGCCAGGAGGGTCCGTGAGAGGGTGGGGAGGTGAGGAGGTGCCCTCAGAAGAGGCCTGCACCGCACCGGCCGCCTTGCCCGCCACCCCCGGCTGGAGCTGGCGTAGCCCATCATCTCCAGGCCAGCGCTTCTGCCTGTCCTTTGGCTCCTGTCTCCCCAGGGACCTCCACGTGGTCACAGGCAGCTTTAGTCAACCCCAAATTCTGAAGCACCTGTGAGCACACGGGCTGTGCGCCAATCGGGATGGGAGTTGGGCCTGGTGTCCTCTCTCGGCAAAGTCTTTTTTTTTAAAGATATGCCTGGCACCATCTCTGTCCCCCGAGGCACATGTCGGCTTTGCGGGGGTCCTGGGTCCACGTCCACCGGGCGTGGGGCAGGAGGGGGGGGAGTGGGGCCTCTGGACAGGCCTAGCTGGAGTCTGGAAGCTCCCAGGGACACAGAAGACAGCGTTTGCCAGGAAGCAGTTAGTCTCCGACAAGCAGAGCTGGGAGCCGGTGCCGGCTGCCCAGGGCTGCTGCCGTCCCCTCCCTCGTACTCCTGAGCTCAGGCCAGTGCCGGCCCGGCTCCCGTGCACCGATGGCGCTCCCTTTGAGCCAGGCCAGCTCCCGGCCACCCGGGCTCCTCAGGCTCCATGATGGAGCCGACTTTGTTGAGTGTCAAGCCAGGCGGCAGTGACAGATGGACGCCTGCCTCAAACCTCGGTGTTCCGAGCCTGCACAAAGGCCCGGGATGTTTTTAGTATCACACATTTGCCTCAGGCCAGCTTTCAACCCCTCTACCAGGGGCTCCGGCTTTTTATCTGGCAAACGCCTTAAGCATTTTGTCAACTTGGACATCTGGCCACACGTTTAAAAATGTTTTCTTTGCTAAAATATTTAGTGGTGTGTCAGGGGCTCAGCTGGAGTCTTGCATGGCACGGCTGAACGCACTCCCAACCACTGGAGTAAAGAATCGCAGGCACTCCCTAGCAAGCAGGGCCGCCCACAGGAGAGGGGCCGGCAGGCACCGTCCTGCGAGGAGCTGGCTCTTCTCTGTGTGATCAGAATTTGCTGCATTCCGGCACCATCTCCCTTTATACCATCAGTGAATCCAGGAGGAAAAGAGAATCATGGGAAAACAGCTCAAGCAGACGCCGGGCATGCATTTGTCAGAGCGCTCAGTGCTGCTCAACCTGCAAGAGGGAGAGCTGGACCTGGCGCGCCAGCTAGTGAGCGATGTACGCAGCGTGGGCCACACATGGCAGGGGACTCCTCAGTCATTACAAGAACAGAACACAGACACACTGCAGCATGGTGAGACCTCGCTCGGGGTGCTCAGAGAGAAGGCAGGCAGGGAGGGCACGTATCTGGCCATTCCACTTCCACGCCACATCCAGAATGCGCAAAGTGTGGGCAACAGAGTAGAGAATGTCTGCCTGAGTGGCGCTGTGGCTCAAGTGGTAGAGCGCTAGCCTTGAGCTGAAGAGCTGAGGGACAGCGCCCAGGCCCAGAGTTCAGGCCCCATGACCGACCAAAAAAAAAGAATGTCTGCCTGGGGCTGGGCAGGGTATGTGCAGAGACCCCGAGGCAGCATGGTGCCCAGGAGAGGACAGCAGGTCTGGGGTGGGGCGCCAGGGGTGGGGGGACAGTGCCTGCTGTTTTAGCTGGAGTGGTGGCTGGAGGCCTGGCCCTGCCACAGGGACGGAGGCTTGGGCCCAGTCTTTGCCGTGGGCTCAGTGAGTAGCTGTGGAAGGAAGGCCTTGGGGGTGGGGGCGGCTCGAATGGCTGAGACTGGAAACCATTCTTGAGATGTGCCATGCCCCAGCTCTGCCAGAGTACCCTCCACCGCAGCCTGGCACGGGACCAGGACCCCGCCCACAGGGTGGGCGCTTGCCTGCGGGGAGGCCGCCCCTGCCCAGCGAGGAGCCTGGGCTCAGGTGGGCGCGGGCCAAGTGTGCGGCTCACGAGAGGCCTCAGGTCCAGGCTGGGTCTGCAGACCCTGCTGAGCGCCATGAGCCACGGGAAAGGATCGGAATCAGGGTAGAGGTGACTTACCCCCAGGGAAAGGTGACAGGCAGGACTGACTGCACGTGCCGGACCGGGCCGCGGGGAGCCTGCCGGCCGCCAGGAGGCACCAGCTCCTGCGAGGTGCTGGCCCTGCTCAGCACAACTTGCTCTCGGGGAATGTTTGTTCTTTCCTTGCTCAGGGAGGGAAGGCACCCCTCCTTGCTCCATGGACAAGCACCATGTGGCGGTGAAGGCAGCCTCAGGGACATGAAACACACTGCTCTCAAGCGACTGCTGCAGCGTCCCCCTCTCCTACTGTTCCCGCCAGCCCCCAGCCTGTTGTCCTGACCCCCACCTCGGCACCTTTGTGTTGAGCTACCTGTGTCTGGTCCTAGAGACCCCCCAGTGGGCCTGGGCCTGGAGTCCCTCCCCTACCCCCCCCACCCCCGGGACACCCAGGCCCATGCTGCAGATCTGGGATCTGTTGTTTCCTTCCCTTCAGATGTTCGGCAGCATGAATATTCTTATTTTTTATTTAAAACTAATTTGGAGTTCTCACTCTCCAAGGGGCTTCTAATCACCAAAAAGTGCCTACGGCAAGCGCTGATTGACAGCCCAACGTGGCCACTTCTGAGGAACAAATTGGCCATTGGCAGAACCACCTACAAAGGGAGTGCTAAGTGCTTGTTATTTATGAGCTATTAGGAGAGTGTTTCAGCAGCTGCTTCCCACATGGGCAAAACACCTGTCAGACATCAGCCAGCCATAAATGACACGCAATTCTGCAGTTACTTTGTTTAGAAAGTCATTAAAATTAAATGTCAGCCAAAACTTAGGAAAACATTTCTTCTTCAACCCCTTTTGAAGCTTGCCAAAGAGCAAACAGGCACCCACTCTCAATGCTCAGGATGGAGGTGCAGTGCTCAGGGTGGAGGTGCAGGGCACAGGGTGGAGGTGCAGTGGTCAGGGTGGAGGTGCAGTGGTCAGGATGGAGGTGCAGTGGTCAGGATGGAGGTGCAGTGGTCAGGATGGAGGTGCAGTGGT